TGTTGGATTATTGCTCTTTGAATTCTTTTAAAAATATGTATATATATTTTTATTGATTTCAGAGAGGAAGGGAGAGAGGGAGAGAGATAGAAATATCAATGATGAGAGAGAATCATTGATTGGCTGCCTCCTGCATGGCCCCTACTGGGGATTGAGCCCACATCTCGAACATGTGTCCTTGACCAGAATTGAACCTGGGACCCTTCAGTCCACAGGCCATGCTCTATCCACTGAGCCAAACTGGCTAGGGCTACTCTTTGAATTCTTGATCAGGTAAATTAATTATCCTATATAATAAAAGCATAATATGCAAATCAACCAAAGGGCCAAACAGCCGGACGACCATCGGAAGACCATCCGGGACCACGCTATGACACCCACTGGCATAGGCTGGGCGGGTGCAATGCGCTTGGTTGTGAGCCTGGCTGTTGCCCCGTGATCGCCCTGCAGAGGGGGGCCCAGGCCACTGACTGATGGGCTGGGTGGGTGGGCAGGTCCTGGGTGCCGGAGGGAAGCTGGTGCGGCAGCTGGGGAAAGCAGGGCCTACTCTTGCATGAATTTCATGCATCGGACCTCTAGTCTCATTATATTAGGGCAGAGGTTGGCAAACCATGGCTCGAGAGCCACATGCTGATCTGTTGACTAATATGTTTGCTGACCGCTGTCATATACTACCCTTTACCTCTTTGCACACAATACGTCACAACTGCCTAATCCTCACAGCTTCCAACCACACGGTAACGTTTAGCCTAGTGCAGGGGTCGGCAAACTCATTAGTCAACAGAGCAAGCCGCGGTGTGCCGACCACTGTATTAGGGCTTTTCTCTAAAGTTTTCCCTGTTCCTTCATTTGGGATATATTCTTCTGACTCTCAATTGCATTTTGCTTTCTGTGTTTGTTCCTATATGGTGTATCTCTCCCAGTCTTCAAAGATCGTTTCTGAGTAGACTGTATGTTGAATAGTTGTGGAGGCCAGTTGAAGTCAGGATTTTTTGTTGTTGTTTTTTAAAATATATTTTTATTGATTTCAGAGAGGGGAGGGAGAGAGAGAGAAACATAAATGATGAGAGAGAATCATTGATTGGCTGCCTCCTGCTCGCCCCCTACTGTGGATGGAGCCTGCAACCTGGGCACGTGCCCTTGACCAGAATCAAACCCGGGACCCTTCAGTCTGCAGGCGGACGCTCTACCCACTGAGCCAAAGCGGCCAGGGCTGAAGTCAGGTTTGTGTGGTGCCTGGCACGTCACCTGGAATGAAGGGGTGAGTTCCGGGCGGGGGAGCCTGGTGTGTGCATTCTGCCTGGCCTTTCTTTATGGGGCTGGGTGGCCTCATGCAAATGGGGCTCCCTGGGGCACGCTTGGGGTGACTTTTTGCTTTTCTGTGTGTCAGAGCTGCATCCGCGTGGGGTTTCTCTATGTGCTAACACCTCAGTGCTCCGCCCGCTCTCCCTCTCTCCCTGGGAGAAAGGCCTGCCTGTGTTGGCCTTAGCCCGCATCAGCGCTGCTCCCTTCTGGCCAGGAAGGCTCCTGGGGGCTCCGCCATGGCCCCGAGGCCACACAGGCAGCCCGGGTGTGTCTTACTAATGAGAGGACCGCAGTGGGAGCACCATCTGGCTGGGTGCCCGCATCATAGCCCCTGGTAGCTCTGCTTTGCAGTTGGGCCGCCCTTGCCTGCGTTCCCAGGCTGAGCTTTGCTATTTCTGCCCCCTCTCAGCACCGCTCAGCTGGATGCCTCTCCCTCTCCCGGCAGTCTGGGCAGTGCTACGCTGCAGGGGAAGGCTGACCTTATACAGTCTTTTAAGTCAGGAAGTATTTTCTCTATTATATTGGAAGATTTTGTGAAAGATGGGTATTCTTTTTAAAATATATATATTTTATTGATTTTTTACAGAGAGGGATGAGAGAGAAACATCATCGACCAGCTGCCTCCTGCACACCTCCAACTGGAGGTGCCTGCAACCCAGGCATGTGCCCTTGACTGGAATCGAACCTGGGACCCTTGAGTCCACAGGAGGAAACTCTATCCACTGAGCCAAACTGACTTTGGCTTTTTTTTTTTTTTTTTTTTTTTTTTTTTTTAAATGTGAAGCCGTCATTCATTTTGTGTGAAGCCATCTAGTACTGGACTTTTACTTTTGGGGAGGTTTTGGATGACTGTTTCAGTTTCTTTACTGTTTATTAGTTTAGACCTTCCAATTATTTATGAATCAATCTGGGGAGGCTAGAGGTGTTTGAGGATTTGTCCATTTCTCTGGGTGGGGGAGCCTGGTGTGTGCACGCTGCCTGGCCTGGTCATGGAATTTGGTGGTCTGTAGCATTTCATCGTATTCTCGGATGGTTTTTGTATTTCTGTGGGGTCTTGTAACTTCTCCTCTTTAATTTCTGATTTTGTTTATTGGCTGTTTTCTCTCCTTAGTGAGTTTAGCCAAGATTTTGTCAATTTTGTTAATCATTTCAAAGAACCAGGTCTTCGTTAAATGGATTTATTCCTATTGTTTTTGTGTTCTCTATTTTATTTAATTTTGCTCTAATTTTTATTATGTTCTTTCTTCTTCTGACTTTGGGCTTAATTTTTTTTCTAGGTCATTAAGATAAAATGTCAGATTTTTTTTTTTTTTTTTTAATTGAGTTCTTTCTTGTGTGACTTTTTTCTCCCCGGATTAGGGGAGTTTTCTGTTATTATTTCTTCAAACAGGTTCTCTCTACCTTGCTTACTTCCTTCTCCCTGGGCTCCCCATCTGATGTGGATGTGGTTAAGTTTCATGTTGTTCCAAAGTCCCCTTAAATTATCCTCATGGTTTTTAAAAAATACTTTTTATTGATTTTTTACAGAGAGGAAGGGAGAGGAATAGAGAGAAACATCAATGAGAGAGAAACACCGATCAGCCGCCTCTTGCACACTCCCCTTCTGGGGATGTGCCCGCACCAAGGCACATGCCTCCGACCCGAATCGAACGCAGGACCCTTGAGTCCGCAGTTCGATGCTCCATCCACTGAGCCAAGCAGTTAGGGCTATCCTCAAATTTTTAATTACATTTTGTTTTTGCCACTCTGATTGAGTGATTTTTTTCTTCTTTCTTGTCTCCTAATTCGCTGATTTGATTCTCTGCTTTGTCTAAACCACTATTACTGTTTCCGGTGTATCTTTATTTCAGATATGTCCTTCTTCATTTCTGACTGGTTATTTTTCATGGTTTCTATGCCCCTTTTCATGCTGTTGATCATCCTTAAAGCCATTACTTCATACTCTGTTGCTAATAAATTGCTTGCCTCCATTTCACTTAGCTGTTTTGTCTGTATTCTTGGGTCTGTTTCTTTGTGCCCCCTCTTTGCTGTTTATGTCTGTTTGTTTCTGTGTAATGGACAGGCCTGCTCTGCTCCGCCTTGGTAGGTGGCTGCAGTGATTATCTTGTGGGAGCCAGGGGTGGAGTCTCCTTGGCCTTCTGACTGGGTGTGGTAGGAATGTCCTTTGCATGGGTCATGCGGGCCCTCCTGCTGTGATTGGCTCTTGATTGCTGGTGTCCATTAGTAGGTGGGTGTAGCCCTCGTGCTGGCTGACTCTGCGGCTCAACCCCAACCACCTCGTGCCAACTGTTACACAGACATAGACTGAAAAAAAAAAGAAAATCAAGAGAAAACAAAAGCAACCCCTCCCCAAAAAAACAAAACAAAAACAACAACAACAACAAAAAAAACTGAGCCCGGTTTGGCTCAGTGGATAGAGCGTCGGCCTGCGGACTGAAAGGTCCCTGGTTCGATTCTGGTCAAGGGCATGTACCTTGGTTGTGGGTTGAGGAAGGGAGAGGAATAGAGAGAAACATCAATAGGGGGTATGCAAGAGGCATCTGATCAATGTTTCTCTCTTATAGATGTTTCTAACTCTCTATCCCTCTCCTTCTCTGTAAAAAGAAAAAAAAATCAATAAAAAGAAATAATAATATTAAAAAATAAAATGTTTAAAAAAAACCTCACACACACACACAAAAAAAAAACAACCAAACTATCATCAACAATGAAATAAAGACAACAACAAAAGATTAAGAAAAAAAAGTATGGATACTAAAAGATAAGAAGCCAAAGGAATTAAAGAAGAAAAAAAAAAAAAAAAGGAAAAGAGAAAATTTGAAAGAAGAAAGTGGGAAAACAAAATAATAATACAAATTAAAATAAAGGTAGTGAGTGGGATAATAATAATAACAATACTATAAAAACAGTAATAATAATGAATAAAATAAAAAGCTAACATGCAAATAGACAGAATGGCAGAACAACTGAACAACCAGTTGCTATGACATGTGCTGACCACCAGGGGCTGCGCGGAACATGGCAGGTGTTGGCCATGGTGGGATGGTGGAGCAGGTGAGTAGGGCACCAGACCAAGGTAAGGCACCTGTTGCTGTCATCAGGGCAAGCCTCTGGTGGTTGCTGAAAATTCTTTGCTCCTGCACACTGTGGTCCCTCCTGGCCCTTACACCGGCTGCCAGCACTAGGGCCACTGCTTAAACCCGCTGCTCTGCAACATCAGTGGGTACGAGTAGCAACTGCTGGCCCCGATCACCTCCCGCTACTCCTGAGGGGCAATCGGGACAGCAGCCACCACTCGCACCCACTGACAGCATTGTCCCAATCGCTCTGTGTGGTCAATGTGTGGCAATGGCGGCTGTGGGAGTGGGGCTGCTGGCAGACAGGGGGTTGGGGGTCGTGGTGGGAGGGGCCAGGCAAAAGCACCGAGGGTGGGCCGAGGCCTGCTCCTGTGCCCACCACAACCTTGGGGCCCCACAGTTCCCTTTAAGGTGCACAAATTCATGCACCTATTTATTACTGTGTCCCTAGTATTAAATAAAAGAACAACAGAAAAAGAGAAGAGAAAGAGAAAAAACAGATAAGGAAAGAAGAGAGATAAATAATAAATAAAACAGAAATAGTAAAGAAAGAAAATAAATGAAAAAATAAAATATAAGTGAACAAATAAAGAAAAGATTAAGAGAGTGGAGTTCTCCACACATTTGTGAGCCTGCTGCTATTCCTAGTTTTCAATCCTTTCAATTTGTTATTTGTGGAGCTTGTTGGATTTTGTCCAAATCTCGCCATGTGGTGTGCTGGTCCCTGGCCTTCCGGGAGGTTCTCGCATGCAAGTCATTATCAGCTACTGCCCCCGGCTGGCCCTCAGCATCCTGACCGAGGCTTGGCAGGGCACCTTTCATCTTCCCGCCTCTACAGGGACAGAGAATAGAAACCGGCCACTGGAGCACTCTTGTTTCTTCTTCTATTTTTGTAATTTCCGGTCCTGACTTCCTCAAACATCTGAGGAACCCACCTCTTCACTCTGAGGTAAATGCTTTTTTTGGCGAGAGAGCATCTCGAATCACAGTCCCCGACCTCGCCCTCATGCTGCTGACGCTCTTGCTGTTGCTCTGTGGTGAGTAGGACAACGCAGATCGGAGTATGGGATTCCATCACTCCGGGGCTCTGTCTTCTGAAGAGCTGTGGGACTCGCAGGATAAGATTCTGCCTGGCCGTGCTCGGGGATGCTTAGATCTCTACTTCCAACGGAGGGTGGAGTCGGGCAGAAAGTGGTAGATACAGGAAAGCCAGATTTTTAAAAAGAAAATGATCATTTTAGCTTTTATCTCATAGGATGTGTTCACCATCTGTCCTTCCGCTTTTATTTATTTCTATATATTCTTTATTGATTTCAGAAAGGAAGGGAGAGAGAGAATTAGAAACATTAGTGATGACTGAGAGTCATCGATCGGCTGCCTCTTGCATGCCCCACACTGGGGACGGAGCCTACAACCTGGGCGTGTGCCCTGATTGGGAATTAAACCCTGACCTCCTGGTTCATAGGTTGATGCTCAGCCAGTGAGCCACACCAGCCGGGCTGTCTTTCTACTTTTAATTGATGATTTTATCTTTGGTATTTTCAATAGTCACCAAGATAGTTCATACAACAAATGGGTCTCTCCGTTCTTTGCCCTTCTTTCTATAAACATTGTTTATCTTTGTCTTTTTATGACCTTCCATTCCTGCCATCAATCCCTAGAACAGTACTAACGACCTCCCTATTTCCAAAATCATTGTTTTCAGCACCAACCCCCCTCCCCCACACAACTAATAGACTGTGTCTCAGCTCACAGTCTGAATGGCCATTGTATACCTGAATATTGTTCAAAGGAATATTGTACCAAGTCCAGAAATCCCCCGAGCACGCTCTGTCTCCAGCTCCCCAGGACGACGTTTCCATCGTGAATCACTGCGCTCTGCACCGTCTCTTCTCACAGCAGTCAGCTTAGGCTCTGCAGTCCATCACAATGCTCCTTTGCATATGCCTTCCTCTCTCTTCCCCCACAGCAGTCTCCTGGTTAACACAGCTTTCTGCACGCTTCACACCCGTGCCCGAGCAGCTGAGTGTGACTTCATGCCAAAGGCACAATCCTGCCAACTGACCTCCCTGTACACGCGGGGCCACCCGTGATCAGCCGCGCCGGGCAATCCTCCTGCACCTTCCCAATCAGTGCTCTTCCATTCCTGCTGACCATTGTGTGGTACCTACTCTTTTCTTCTCAACTTTATCCCTTCTTAGTCCCAGTTTATAATTTTGATTAATATTTCGTTAGGAAAATAAAAGCCACCAGAAGAACGTGACCTCATCGTATTGCTGTGTCGATATCAATTCACCCACCTCTATAGTTGCGTACTCGTCTTTTCTTCCCCTGTCGTGACTGTATTGTTCTTCATCCTATCAGAGACAGGACTCCCCTCTTGTGCCTTGGGTGCCAGATCCCCTCAAAACGTTTCTTCATCTGGGTTATTCCCATCATATATCTCATCTGAAAAGAATAGAAATGTGACTTCTCAATGTCTCCACCATGCCTTGGCCCCCCTTGATACATTTTTCCGTAAGTTGCTATCTTGACTTCATATCATCCCATCCTGGTTTAAAACTTTATTTTTAATTTACATTAGAGTAAGCTTTACTTTTTTCAATACACTATGATGTTTGACAGAGACTTAGTGTCATGTGACCTCCAGCGCAATCGTAGTACAGGACATTTCCACAACTTCAATAAACTTCACCACTTCAAAACTTCCGTCAGCCCCCTCTTTAGAGTCAAACACTCCCTCCTTTTTAATTCCTGGAAACTTCTGTATTATTCCAACTCCTTAAAATTCCTTCTTCTGCTTTCTTAAACTCACTTAAATAAGTCTTTAATTCCCACCCCACCTTTAAAACCACTCTTGCTAATATCAACCACCCGTAGGGTGCCCATTCAGGATTCAGTTTGCATTTCTCATCTTATTCACTCTCTCAGGAGTATCTGATAGTTGATCACTCAGTCTTCTGTTATACATTTTTGCTTATATTCTGGAACACTCTATTCTATCATTCCTTTTAACTCATAACCTGCTTCTTTACTGATCTCAAAATGTTTCACCTTCTTAAGGCTGGTACCCAGACTTCTCTTTTCCATTCCTACTCACTTCTGCCAGTTATACAGTTTGGTCACTTTATATCTCATTTCAAGCTTAAAATACTTAAAATCAGCCTTATTTCTCCAAATTTGCTCTTTCCTTTGAACAATATTCAGGTATACAATGGCCATTCAGCTGTCTGGTGGTATCTTAAACTCAGCATAACCAAACAGATTCTCTGCTCTTCCAAGTGATCACCACTGAAAAAGTAACCTGTTTCTCCCCATGATTTCTCCATTTTCATAAACGTCCCCACCACTTTTCCAGTCGCCGTTGCCAAGAATCTAGGAGTTGTACTTAACTCCTCTCTTTCTCTTATACTTTATATCTGATCCACGAGTCACTTGTATTTTCAAAATGTACACTGAAATCTGGCCACCTCACAGCACCAGAACTCCTTAACCTGGGCCGTGATTATCGTCACTCTTTCAGATTCAACTCCCACTAGTGTTCTCCCTGCCTCCTCTGTACGTCTGTACTTTATTCTTCTCACAGTGTAAGGGTGATTTTACAAATGCAAATTAAGTCAGAACTGTCTTAATTTGGAGGATCGAGGCCTACTCTTGCATGAATTTCATGCCTCGAGCCTCTAGTCTAAAATAAAAATCCCAAACTATTACCAAGTCCAGAAATCCCCCGACTGGCTCCTGCTTACTGCTCTCACACCAATATCAACCACTGTCAGTCCCCCTGGTCAATTCCAGATGCTCTGGCCTTCTAACCCCTCTGTGGGGGGGAGGGGGGGGAGAGATTATGCCTTCTTAATGTCTTTCCGGGCTCTGTGTCTCCTCCAGAAAGGATCATTTCCAAATGCTCAGTAGGCCTTCACTCTAATTTCATTTAGGTTTCTCCCCGATTGACATCTATCTAGAGAGTCAAGACCATCAGGAGATCATTAGTAACTTATTTCTCTGATTTATTTTCCTTATTGGCTCTCTTCCTCTGAAATGTAAAATGTTGACAACAAAGACTACTGTTCATCTTTATTCCTGTGACCTAAGTGCCATCTACAATGCTTGTAGTATTTGTTGTATAGCTGAATAAAGAAAATGTGATTTCTATGTAAGCCTTTATCCAACTTTTTCTTCTATCCACCACCTGTATGTTGACCCTAGGAACTAATTTCTTAAATAATAAACATTTAACCTAAAGGAAGAAGCCATCTCAGCCACCATGGGCTTAAAGAGATGACAATAATAATGAGAGAGTATTTATTGAATGTTAAACAAGTTCTAGGTACCATTCTAAGCATTTTACGGCTATCAACTTATTTAATTCTCACAAAACTCTATGAGGCAAGTCTGTTATTGTCCCCATTTCTTCAGCAAAGGAGCGCAGAGAGAGATGGGACCTTTCCTCAGGGCGACACAGCGAGTGAGAGGAAGAGCCTCTTACCATGGCCACGGGGCTGGAGAGCCGAGCTCCCCAGGGGGCGCAGTGTCAGTGGTGATCGGGCCTGAGCAGGCGCCTCCCACTCTCCTGTCCTGTCTACCGTTACAGGAGGCAGCATGAGAGCTGGGTCCTCCCAGCCTTTGAGAGGGGGACCTGGAAGTGGGGGGCTTGAAGAAGGGAGCTGCGAAGTAGTTCTAAAGCAAAGGCGCCATCTTGTAATCATAAGTGAGAGAAGTCCTTGGAAATGGCTTTTAAGATCATAAATGAACTCTGTGCTGCTTATGGGCAGGTGTCTTACAGGTGATGTGGAATGTGAGAAAAGGAATGGAGAGAAAGAAGAAAGGAAGGGAGGGAGGCAGGGTAAAAACCAGCAGGAAGGGAGGGAGGAGGGAAGAAAGGGAAGAGGAAGAGTAAAGGAAGAGGCAGGGAGAGATGTGGCGGTGGTGGTGGGGAGGAGAGTCTGTTGTTGGGAAGCTCTTTGGGAGATTAAGCGTGGCGTGGGTTTTGCATTTGGTTTTGCATTTGGTGTTCTGCACTGACCTCTGACCTCTGCCAAATTCCCTCCCAGCTCAGCGCTGTGAACCGGCAGGTGAGTTGCACTTCCCTTTCTTCCTCTCCATGGTCTGTGGGCACCTTGACACGTGGGCCCACCCCGGAGGCCAGTGGGTGGCTGTCTGACATCTGGTGACGGCCTCCGAGGTGTATAAATAACCGGGGCCCATCGGGCCCAGGCTGCTGTGCTCACCTCTGTTTCTGTGACACCTGATATTTGCATGTTCAGCTTGGGGAGCAGGTGCTGGTCTGACCTCAAAACCACAGTCTTTTTTTTTTTCCCCTGGGAAGTCCCAGCTTAGGGAGGGATATGCTGCTTGCACACAGAAGCCATGGGTGCCCAAGACTGATTTTATTTCTATTTATGTATTTTTATAACAATTGTCTTCAGAATTCTTTATTGTGGAAAGTATCACATAAGTCTCCTTCTACTCCCATTGACTCCCTCCAGCCCGCCCCAGCCCCAGGCCCTCACCTCCGTACTGTCTGGGCCCATAGGTTTTGCATGTATGCATAGAAGGTCTTTCATTGGTTACCTCCCACCCAGACACCCTCTCTCAAAGACTAATTTTATTTTATTTTATTTTATATATATTTTATTGATTTTTTACAGAGAGGAAGAGAGAGGGATAGAGAGTTAGAAACATCGATGAGAGAGAAACATCCACCAGCTGCCTCCTGCACACTTCCCACCGAGGATGTGCCTGCAACCAAGGTACATGCCCTTGACCGGAATCGAACCTGGGACCCTTCAGTCCGTAGGCCCATGCTCTATCCACTGAGCCAAACCGGCTTCGGCTAAAGACTGATTTTAAAAGAATCTCTGCCCTCGCAGCCTCAGGGGCTCCGAGGCAGCAGTGTACTTCTCAGCTGATGTTACACCAGGAGGGACAGGAGTCGCATTCCCTGGAGAGCACCTCACAGCCCGCCCACCCAGGGCCACCTACAGCGTAAAACAGGGCTGCGACTCCTTCCCAGCATTAGCTCTGAGGCTGCCTCAGCGGCCACCCAGCGTGGTTCCTCTCTCGGACTCTGATTTCTGCAAACGTGCTTCGTTGTTCTGATCCTCACTGAAAGTCTGACCTTTACCAGATGGAGAGAGGAGGCCAGCTCCCCCAGAAGAAGTATTTCACTGAAGTGTGTTTAAACCTAACATGTGTCGGAACTTTTTTTAAAAATATATTTTATTGATTTTTTTTTTTTTTACAGAGAGGAAGGGAGAGAGAGAGTTAGAAACATAACTGAGAGAGAGTCATCGATCAGCTGCCTCTTGCACACTCCCTACTGGGGATATGCCCCCTGACCAGAATCGAACCTGGGACCCTTCAGTCCGCAGGCTGACGCTCTATCCACTGAGCCAAACCGGTTTCGGCGGGACTTTATTTTATTTTATTTTTTGTATATAAAATACTGAGCACAAAGTTAAATGAGGCTGTGCTGTCCCATCAGGGACACAGGCTGCACATGCAGCGAGGGAACCCCAGATTCGGGCTCCTGTGAGGAGAGATACTCGGAGCCGGCTCCTCCAGCTGGGCCCCTCGGCTGGTGTTTGTCCAAGTCTAACCCACGCCCGGTTGATGCCACGGCGTCTTCTTCTTGGCCCCGTTTTAACTCCTGTGAAGGCACACGAGAGCCTGGTCCTCGCCTAAGCCGTGCCCCGGGTGATGAAAGTTTCTGCCACCAGGAATTTCCCATGAGCCTTTGCGCCTGAGAATTATCTATATATATAAAAGCCTAAGCAACTGGATGACTGGCCAGTAGCATGACGCACACTGACCACCAGGTGGCAGATGCTCAACACAGGGACGGCCCCTGGTGGAAGAGGGCTCCCACAGCCAACCTCCTGTGGTCCCTCCCTCTGGCCGGTGCTGACAGGCCCTGATCGGGCCTGGGCAAGATGGCCCCCGATCGTCCCGATTGCGGGCCAGGCCAAGGGACCCCACCCATGCAAGAATTCATGCCCTGGGCCTCTAGTTTGAAATAAGCTTCACCCTGTAAGATTGAGCTCCAAACCCTTGAAAACTGGGCTTTCTGATACCTACTCCATCCTCAACCCAGACTCATTCAGAAAAGCAGCCTCCGGGTGCCCAGCTACCTGTGTTCTTCCCCTTTCCGCTCAGACCCGACTTCTGTGCTGCTCCTCATGCCTCTAGGGACTGTAGTCATCCAAGGAGAGACAGTGACTCCACTGTGCAGGGCATCCCGCCCCCCAGCCCGGGGCAACTCCGGTCGCACATTCTGGAGCTGATGCTCTCCAAGCCCCAGGGTACAGCATTCCAGGGCGAAGATTACAGATACCAAACCGGAAACACCTCCTCGGGGACCTGGGACCCTCACGTTTTTATCTGATGCAGCAGCTCATGAAACACCAGAATCCCGAGAGCACTGGCCATTCAGACGAGATCGGGCTCGTTCAGGGTGGTATGGCCATAGACTAACACTGGCCATTCAGGGGTTTGTTTATTCAACCCCCAGAGCCTCTGCTATTTGGGAAATTTTAAGCATTTTCCTAAGAAATACCTCTTTCTTTCCTCACCATAAGGAGATGAGGTGAAAGCAGAATACAAATATAACCATCCTCAATTCATCCAGGAAAAAACTCCGAAGGCAAAAGCATACACCCCTGAGGCTCAAGATATGGATTTAATTTTCTCCTTGAAAGCACAGCTTCTAAAGGGGACTCAGAAGAAGAGAAGAGAAGAGAAAAGGAAAGGAAAGGAAAAAAACAAAACAAAACACCCTCAAACATCAGACATAGGTGCCTATGAAAAAAGTAAACAAACAGAAAGTCTCAGAACACAGGCTGTGTAGACGTGTGGACTGAGGACTTTTCTAAGCAAGTACAAGCCTGCTTCTTTCATAATAAACTTTTACAATAAAAAGGGCAGGAGAGAATCAGTAAAGAAGGAATTGGGTTTCCCCAAGTCTTTCCCAGACCCTCCAGGTTCTACACTCTGTCTTTGAAAGAGAAAGTCTGAGATGCCAGGGGGAAAGGAGACACAAGAAAATAACCACTGACGCCTGTGACAAGGATGGGTGAGCTGTATTCACTTTTCCAAAGGCTCCAAGCTCTGTCTTCCCCAATGCCAGCTGTCAGTGTCCCTGCACTGTCCCCAGAAAAGGTGCTCTCAGTTCACGGAGAGACACCTCAGTGAGTAAGAACCGAGTCAGAGGTCAGGGCTGCCTGTGGCAGGAGGCGATGCCACGCCGAGGCAGGTGTGCTGGGCGGGCACCTGGCAGAGGGAAGCCCAGGACCCCACTTGCGGGTGGTGATGCGATCTGTTTGTCCCGTTGGCTGGTTCTCCCCCTTTTTCTTATTTTTATTGATGTCAGAGAGGAAAGGAGAGGGAGAGATAGAAACATCAATGAGGAGACAGAATCAGCGATCGGCTGCCTTCTGCCCACCCTACTGGGGATCAAGCCTGCAGCCCAGGCAGGTGCCCTTGACCAGAATAAGATCTGGGACCCTACAGTCCACAGGCCTCCGCTCTATCCACTGAGCCACGCTGCCTAGGGCAGGCTCTCGGTCTTGTTTCAAATGCTAAGAATACAACATGACTCTGAGTGCCACTGCCCTGGAATATGTGTTTCGTCCTTCTCTCTAGAGCTGTTTTTGACAGTCAGCCCTTCTCAGCCCGTAGAGGGGAACTCAATGAACCTGACCTGCAGGACCCGGCCCCCTCTGCAGATAGGCATCCGGCTCCAGTTCTGCTTCTTCAAAGATGTGTCCGTCCTGGGGCCGAGCTGGACCGACTCCCCGGAGCTCCGGGTCCCTGCCCTGACGAGGGCTCATTCAGGCTCCTACTGGTGTGCAGCTCGGACTACTGAGGCAGCACCGAAGACCCTCCGGAGCAGGAGAGTCCAGATCCTTGTGCGGAGTGAGTGCTGGGGCCCCCGAAGGGCGTGAGCCTGCCTGGCCGTGCTGGCTGGTCCGTTCGTTCTGCTCCTGCGGACATAGGAGCGGTGCCCGGGCTGCCCTCTGTCAGAGTCCTCAGGCTCCTCCCTTCTCATCGATATTCCCATCCCTCCACGCAAACTTTATGTGCGTCTCCAGCTGCGGGAGAGAGTGGAGAAAATCTGCATAGCACGCGGTCCCTGATTACCGTAGTGGCTGCTCCGTCGGCGCTCGGAACCACGGTGGTGGCACACAGGGCGTGTGGCACAGGAGTGGCGGGAATGAAAGCACACGGAGAGAAAGATGCCTGCGGTGGCGGGAGAGGCTTGTGGGACAGGCTGCTACGGATCGGCTTAGGGCAGAGAGTGTGGCCTGGATTTTAAGGATAGAAAAGAAGGCGTTTTCTGATTCAAAATCACAGCTGTTGTAGCAAGTCAGGGCTGATGCTCCTGACTCCCTCTCCTTCTCGGACAAACATGTGCCCATTGTGCCCTGAGCAGTGTTCTCCAGGTGCCCGGCCTCCCAGACCTGCTCACAGCCAGCATTGGTGATGGAGACACACACACACACACATACACACACACACACACACACCACACATACACACACACATACACACATATCTACACCCCCCCACACACACAAACACACCACACCACACATACACCCCACCCTCCCATCCTCCCCCACACCCCTCCCACACACACACACCACACATACACACACACACACACATATCTACACACCCCCACCCTCCCCCCCCACACACACAAACACACCACACCACACATACACCCCACCCTCCCATGCCCCCCTCACACCCACACCCCCTACACACATACACACCACACATACACACATACACACATACCTACACACCCCACCCCCACCCTCTCCACACATACCACACACACACACACACACACACACACACATCCCACCCTCCCATCTCACCCCCCCCCACATACACATCACACATACACACACACCTACACACACACCATACACACACCACACCACACATACACACCACACATACACACATACCTACACACCCCACCCCCACCCTCTCCACACATACCACACACACACACACACACACACACCACCCTCCCACCCCCCCCCCCCACATACACATCACACACACACACACACACCTACACACACACCATACACACACCACACCACACATACACACCACACATACACACATACCTACACATCCCAACCCTCCCCACATACACCACACACACACACACACACACATACACCCCACCCTCCCATCCCCCCACACACCCCCACACCCCCCTACACACATACACACCACACATACACACATACCTACACCCCCACCCCCACCCTCTCCACACATACTACACACACACACACACAACCCTCCCATCCCCTCACACCCTCCACACATACATATCACACATACACACATACACCCCCCTACAGACACACACCATACACACACCACACCACACATATACACCACACATACACACATACCTACACACCCCCAACCCTCCTCACATACACCACACACACACACACACATACACACCACCCTCCCATCCCCCCACCCCCCACACACATAAACATCACACATACACACACACCTACACACACACCATACACACACCACACCATACATACACACATACCTACACACACCCCACCCTCTCCTCACACAGACACACATAAACACACCACACCACACAAACACACCACACATACACACATACCTACACACCCCCCACTCTCCCCCCCCCCACCCCTCCCACACACACCACACACACATATACACACACCACATACACACCACGCACACACACATGCCTACACACACACACACACCCCACACACACCACACCACACACACACACCACACCTACACACACACCATACACACATCACACCACACATACATACATACCTACACACACCCCACCCTCCCCACACACAGACACACATAAACACACCACACACACCACACCTCTCACCCCCACACACATACCACACACACATACACACAAACACACCACACCACACACACACCACACATACACACATACCTACAACCCCCACTCCCCCCCCCCCACCCCCCCTCCCACACACACCACACACACATACACACATACCACATACACACCACACATACACACATACCTACACACACACACCCCATCCCCCCCCCCCCAACACACACACACAAACACACCCCAACCTAGAGGCGGTCTGACCTGCCGCGGGCAGCGCTGCCCAGCACTCTGTGCCGGAGGAGGTGTGATGGCGGGGCAGCAGGTGGCGCGAGGGCCATGTCCGAGGGAGGGAGGCGAGGCTGCCTCCTCCGGGGTCACATTATGGAGCCTTTCTTAGCCTCCCGCCTCCCAAACAACGCCAAGTTCAAAGCAGCAGAACCCCCTGCCTCTCCCCCGGCCCCCCGCCCCAATTAACCTACACAGTGGGTGGCCCCAATTAACCTACACAGTGGGTGACTCTCTCCAGGGCCGCCCCGGACGGTCACCCCCTCCGGCCCTGACGCCCTCCTCAGTGCTCCCCTGCCACCTGTGCTCCGCAGGAGTCCCCGTCCACACCGTGAGCCTGGAGACGCGGCCTCCGGGGGGCCGAGTGATGGAGGGAGAGACGCTGGTGCTGGTCTGCGTGGCCGCTGGGGGCACAGGGGACATCACCTTCCGCTGGTACAGAGGGCCCCTGGGCTCCAAACTGGGAGAGAGGACCCAGCCCTCCCTGGCCGCCGAGTTTGAGGTCCCAGCGGTGAGAGAAGGCGAGGAGACCTACTACTGTGCGGCAGACAATGGCCACGGCCCCAGCCTCAGCGGGCTGGTGAGCATCGCCGTCGGAAGTAAGTGCCTCCCTGCCCGCCAGCCCTGCCCGCCAGCCGCCGGGAGCTGGCACAGGGGGCTCCGAGTGTCTCTGGGGGCGACCCGGGGAAGCCGGAGCCCCTGAGGGCGGAGACGGTGGGTCTGTCCCCCATTAGACACCCTCTTAGACACCCACCGTCTCCCTCAGTTCCAGTGTCGCAGCCTGTCCTCACCGTCCAGGCCCCGGGGGCCGAGAAGGCGGCGGGGGAGGCGGTGGAGCTGCACTGCGAGGCCGCCAGGGGCTCTCCCCCGATCCTGTACCTGTTCTACCACGAGGACGTCCGCCTGGGGAGCCGCTCGGCCCCCTTCGGAGGGGGAGCATCCTTCAACCTCTCCCTGACCGCAGACCACTCCGGGAACTACTCCTGCGAGGCCGACAACGGCCGGGGGCCCCGGCGCAGCGAGGTGGTGCCACTCCACGTCACAGGTACCGCTCAGCCCCGGGCGGTCCTGGCCAGCGCCTCTCTCAGCGACAACACTACTAACAACATTGCACTGCCTTCATTGGGGCCATTTTTGCAGCTGATACCCCAGATGGGGTTCAGTGGGTGATGCTGGGCGGGGGGAGGGGGGTGTCTCTGAGGGGGCCTGGAGGGCCTCATGCCTGAGTGCTCCTCTGGTCCTTCCATCATTGTGAAGAGCTGCAAGTCTCCAGATGACTAAGTCTCACTGCCCCCGCCCCCTGCGGAGGGCTGACCTTGGCCTCAAGACGTCTGCTCTTCATATCGAAGTCCTTCTCCTCGGCAGCTCACCCACAGGTCTCTCTCCTCAGTGCCCGCGGAGGACGGAGAGAGTCTTCCTCCAGCCATCCTTGAGGGGCTGCTCGGCAGCCTTGGTCTCACCGCCGTGGCCCTGATAGTTTGCTGTTGGCTCAAGAGAAGAGCAGGTGAGTATTTGTGGAGATTGGTATGTTGTTACGGTGACCTTGGCTTTCACGGAAACAGGCTGCCTTGGTGACACGGATGCGGTAAAGAATGAACGCACCGCGGGAGTCACCTGCCTACAGATCTGCTTACAGCGCGCAGCAGGGAATGGCACCTGGCAGAGTGGTGTGATGTTGTTAGTAACGTTCCTATCCCCTTTGCATTATCAGCTGAAATCCAGCTGATCCCTAAGGAGTCTGTGATTTAATCTGATACGAAATGTAACCATTTAAATAATGAATATGCCTCTGGATTGGAAATGCAGGGAGCAGTTCCAGCTATACTGACCGTCTCCCAGCTAAAGCCAATGCATCCATTCCTTTGCCCCTTAGACTGAAATCACATGCTGCCCCCCCCCCCCCCCAATGCTTGTCCACACAGGCTCACATACTACCCATTGCTGGGTCTCTTCCACTTTTCAGTTTAAATGTCATTTTAAAAAATACATATTTTGAAATTGATTTCAGAGAGGAAGGGATAGGGAGAGGAGAGAGAGATTGAAACATCAGCGATGAGAGAGAATCATTGTTCGGCTGCTGCCAGCACGCCCCACATTGGGGATTGAACCCAGGCATGTGCCCTGATTGGGAATTGAACCGTGACCTCCTAGTTCACAGGTAAACACTCAACCACTGAGGCACACTGGCTGGGCTTACATGTCATTTTCCCCCAAGAGGCTTCACACAGCCTACAATTCTCTTCCAGTGTTCGTCAGCAGAGTACAGAGTTATTTAATTTTTCACTTTATCCCCAATGGCAATTAAATATTTGTTTGTACCTTTAACTTGGTTTCTTGGTCTCCACTGACCAAGTTGGAGATGAGGCAGGAGAAGACACTAGGAGCTTCTCATTTAGGTCACAAGCTTTTTTTTTTTTTTTTTTTTTTTTTTTTTTTTTTTTTTTTGCACTTTTGGGCTCCTCACCCCATCTATGATAGGGCTGGGCCAGTGGTCGGCAAACTCGTGAGTCAACAGAGGCAAATATCAACAGTACAATGATTGAAATTTCTTTGGAAAGCCAAATTTTTTAAACTTAAACTTCTTCTTTCTTTCTTTTTTTCTTTCTTTCTTTTTCTTTTCTTTTCTTTTTTTTTTTTTTAGTTCATGTCTTGTATTAACCCAAATACAATTACTTGTCTTCTGGTTTGTTGAAGCAATAGGTCAGACAGCATTTGCCACAATAATGTCTGTCAAAGTGGCTGGCCATGAAAACTCCAGCACCACATTCATCGGAAGGGCACTCTCAGCGAAGGCAACTGATTTTGCCATTCTCATCCACTTTGTAGTAGTTCAGGACAGCCAGCTTAACCTTCTTTCTCTTATGCTTGTTCTTCTTGGGAGTGGTGTAAGACTTCTTCCTTTTCTTGGCACCACCACGGAGTCTCAGCACAAGACGAAGCGTGGACTCCTTTTGGATGTTGTAGTCAGACAAAGTACGGCCGTCTTCCAGTTGCTTGCCAGCAAAGATCAGTCTTTGCTGATCAGGAAGAGTTCCTTCCTTATCCTGGATCTTGGCCTTTACACTTCCTATCGTATCCGAGGGTTCAGCCTCGAGAGTGATGGTCTTCCCCGTGATGGTCTTCACGAAGATCTGCATCTTGGTGGCGACTCCACCGCAGACGGCGGATCGGAAAGCTAAACTCCAACTTCTTCTAACGCCACTTCTTCAAAACAGACTCGCCCAGGCCGTGGTATTCTGTGGAAGAGCCACACGCAAGGGGCCAAAGAGCCGCAAGTGGCTCGCAAGCAGCAGTTTGCCGACCACAGAGCTGGGCAGTGCCTCCTCTGCGGGATCTTGTCACGATAAAACGAGGTGGTGTGGTTGTAAGATGAGAAGCAAAAAAACATAATAGATATGAAGCCTTCAAAGGCTTGAGCTCAAGTCTAAGCTTTGGTATTGACCGCCATTGGAAAGCTCACTTAATTCTTCTAGACCTGAGTCTCTTTATAGGCAAAATGCAGGACCGGCCTGAATGGCTGCCAGCTTGTCCCTGGGGCACACAGTGGCATCTGTGGCAGGCGTGCTGGCATGGCAAACATGCCCCGTACAAGCCTGTCCTCACCTTCAAGGCTCCTGGAGCCGAGAAGGTGGTGGGGGATGTGGTGGAAAAACGGATGGAGAGAGCCCCCCACTGACATGTGCTCATGTGTTTGACTTTCAGGAAGACGCTCAGCCAGGGATCCACCCAGGTGAGGCCTCTGCTTTCTCTGTCTCCACGGACAGTGTAGAAAAATCTATTTTATAAAAATTAAATGGTCCTCTCTCAAGAGCTTTCTTCATATTAAAATACAGATATATATTTTATTGATTTCAGAGAGGAAGGGAGAGGGAGAGAGAGATAGAAACATCAATGATGAGAGAGAATCATTGGTCGGCTGCCTCCTGTACACCCCACATTGGTTATTGAGCCTGCAACGGGGGGCACGCGCCCTGACTGGGAATTGAACCGTGACCTCCTGGTTCATAGGTCAACACTTAACCACTGAGCCATGGCAGCCGAACCATATTTTTATTATATCCAAAACGTCCACTCCACAGTTCCCTCACTGATAACTTTGAATATTCATTTGTTACTCTTCTTCTTTTATATGTTGACAAATTAATTTAAATCCTTTCATCATTCTTCATAATTTACTGCTTTCACGAAATCTGTAGAATAAGAAAGCTATATTGCTTTAACTCATTCAATGCATTCATTCAATCGATTCACCAATATCTGAAGGTTTACAAGTCATTCCATCCAGTGCTGAAAAGCCTGAAAATATATACACATTTTGAGAGTCGTGAAGTATCATAGATAAATATACACTTCTGTAACATAGGCCAGAGAGTAATGAACACACCGACGTTTTTCATGATAAAGTCCTTTAGAAGTTTAGAAGAGGGAAAGATTTTTAGAATGCTTTCATCTGGGGATATCAATATTTCGTTGATATTTTTTTTAGTGTGTTATTGTTTATGCCAAAAGAGGTGTTTTATTATTTTTTTAATTTTATTGTTTAAAGTATTACACATAATAGTACATATATCTTCTCCCTTCCCCCCATTGACTTTCCCCCATCCTCTCCTACCCCCTGTCACATGCCCTCATTCCACCCCCTAGTGTCTTGTGTCCATTGATGTGCTTATATATATATATATATATATATATGCATACAAATCCTTCGGTTGATATCTCTCCCCCTCTCCCAGCCTTCCCTCTGTAATTTGACAATCTGTTCAATGCTTTACTGCCTCAGGATCTATTTTTTTGTTCATCTGGTTATAATGTTCTTGGGGTGTGTTTTTTTCCAGATCAGAGTAGCATATACATGCCAAGACAATGATCTTCTTTTCTTTCTTTCTTTCTTTTTTTTAAAAAAAATTATATTTTATTGATTTTTAACAGAGAGAAAGGGAGAGAGATAGAGAGAAACATCGACCAGCTGCCTCTTGCACACCCTACCGGGGATGTGCCTGCAACCAAGGTACATGTCCTTGACCGGAATCGAACCTGGAACCTTTCAGTCCACAGACCGACGCTCTACCACTGAGCCAAACCGGCTTCAGCAATGATCTTATTTTCTTTCCTCAAGACACTTGCTCTACCTAGCAACATGCTTTCCATCTGGAGTGAATCAATTTTCTTCATTTTGTGCTTACCGAGCACCCGTAATGTGAATGGCACTTCCTGGTGTGAGCAATGCCACAGTGAGCCAGTCAAATTAGGACCTGACACCTGTGGGATGTATGCCCAGAGACACTCTGCTGGGTTTTCCTCAGCCCCGGTGTTGGGCTGTGGCTTCTGCCACACAGCTGTGTGGATGGATGATTCCCCAGAAATCACTGTGCTCCTTAGAACTCTTCCTAACAGGCCCCTCTCAGTGTCTTCCTCATAATCTCAGATGGCCACGTCTGGAATGCTATCACAGACAATAGTCTCTGTGTTTGCAGGAGCCCTCCCAGCCCCGCGCCCCGAGAATCCTCATATCTGAACTCAGCAGCGCCAGTGCAACAGCAGCCCATCTACGAAAACGGTGAGGTTCCCAACAACCCGGACCAAAGCAGGGAGAGCGAGCTGGGGAAGAGGCCGTGGGGTCATGTCTGCCAATCATACCTGGCCCCGCTGCCAGATGCACCACCCGTCTTCACGGCCGAGAAGGCGGTGTGTGTGTGAAGCAGCGTATTTGGCAGGCAGGAGGGACTGGGTGGCAATGCCTCCTTTCTCCCTCTTTCAGTGAATGTTGTCAGCGGAGGTGAGGTTTACTCCCTGGTGTACCATACGCAACAGGAGCGGCAATCGGCAGCAGGTAAGACATGGGGGAGCGCCTTTTTCTCTGACTTTTGTCTTTCCTGGGACCGAGAAAGGGCTGTGCAGAGCTGTGCCCTTGGTGCTGCCTGGGCATTGCTGGGCCTCTCTGAAGGTTCCTTTGGCCTGGAACCTGCCTCAGGAGAACCCAGGCCGAGGCTGCATGACCTGACCGAGGGGTGTGTGTCTCCCTCTGCAGTCGGGTGGGTGCAAGCACTGGAGAGGATGGCTGCTGCTTCTCTCCGCAAGGAGCCCTATGGACTCCACAGCACCCGACACAGCCGCCCAGTGGCTACTGTTGTCCTACATGGTGGGCCCAGAAGTGCTGGCCGCTATGAATGCCGGGAGGGGCCTACTCACCCTCCAGCCCCCAGGCTGTTACTTTTTCTCCGCAGAGTAAGGGAAGTGTGTTTGTGAAAGGCAGAAACATGAGGCAAAAGTGTTACTAGAAATAAATCCACGGGCAATAGACAGGAGGGGAAGAAGCCTTTATTAAAACCAACTTCGTGAAGGACTTTAAGTGTAAGTACAACCTCACAGCATGCACCCTTTTCTTCACAGCACCATCCCTGAGGACACGGGTGCAGGGCACGGTGAGTTGGAATTCCTATGGTTCTTCCTCCAGGCTCTTTCTTCTGGGGTCTGGTTCTCATACTTTTAAAATATATATATATATAATTTTATTGATTTTTTACAGAGAAGAAGAGAGAGGGATACAGAGTTAGAAACATCAATGAGAGAGAATCATTAATCAGCTGCCTTTTGCATACCCCCTACTGGGGATGTGCCCGTAACCAAGGTACATGCCCTTGACTGGAATCGAACCTGGGACCTTTCAGTCTGCAGGTCTATGCTCTATCCACTGAGCCAAAGAGGTTTCAGCTGGTTCTCATACTTTTAAAACGATGGTCACTAAGGAAAAAGGAAAGATTCCATTGTCTTCTCACACAGTGGGGATAAAAACATTCAGTTATAACGACAAAGTGTCACTGTAGAGGGACATTTGGGAGGCTTACTTATACATGTATTTTAGCCATGGACATATGGGTGTTTGGGACTAAACTGTAGTCTACAATTTTTATTTAAAAATCGTTATACTGAAATATTCTCAAGCTGTACATACATAAGTTGGTGCTGTAAGGTTAACTAAACAACACATCTCTCTAGATTAGGGGTGTCGAACTCAATCAGAGAAGGGGCCAAAATCTAAAATCCAGCCTAAATCGCGGGCCGAATGGTTTATTGAACAGTCATAAACTGTCATTGTGATGGAAACGCAGCGGAGTGCAGTGATGACAGCGCGGTGCGGGCCACATTGCAAGGCCTGGCGGGACGGATTTGGCCCGCGGGCCTTGTGTTTGACACATGTGCTCTAGATAAAAGGCTAAAATGCAAAGTGTCCCCCTCTGGAGTTTTACTGGGAGGTTGGGAGTTCAATTGCTCACAATGACATGTGCTCGCCACCAGGGGGCAGCGTGGGATGAAGGGAGGCCCCAGTCGGCAGCCGAAAGGCCCCAATCATCCCTGATCGCCAGCCAAGCCTAAGGACCCTACCCGTGCATGAATTTCGTGCACTGGGCTTCTAGTAGAAATATAAATTAATAAGCTAAATAATGATGTTTATAATTAAAAATAGCTAGTTTCTGTAAAGCAACAAGCAGATTGTCAAATTACAGCGGGGAGGGGAGGAGGATCTGGGGGAGATAATAGATCAACCGAAGGACTTGTATACATGCATATAAGTACAACCAATGGACATAAAACTATGGGGAGGGAGGGGATATGGGGGAGGGAGGGAGGGGGGCAAAAAAATCATTAAAATATGTAAAAAAAATAAATTAATTAATTAAAAAAAATAGCTAGTTTCTAAACTTGGAACAATCCATAACATCACTGATGATACAAAAATGCTTTAATAAAATGCAGAAATGCCTTGATCTTCATGGATGCAGGGACAGCGGGTGCTTTGCAGTTTTGTCACGTGTGGTGTGACAGCCAAAGGTCTCAGGACAGAATTCAAGTCCTTGGTTAACCCCTTAGGTGGCATGCCACATTTAGTTTATGAATACCAAATTCCGACATTTAACAGAAAACACATGCCAGCTGCCTCGCCATGGCCCATAGGAATGAGAGAAAGCCTCGTGTGCTTGGATCCGTTTGCAGGTCATCGGCCATCCCTCTGCAGCCCGCCAGTGGAATGCAGACCCTTTGAAAAGGCCGCCCTAGGGCCACCGTCTTTCAGTAACTTTTTTTTTTTAAAATATATATTTAATTGATTTTTCACTGAGAGGAAGAGAAAATGATAGAGAGTCAGAAACATTGATGAGAGTTAATCATCAATCAGCTGCCTCTTGCACACCCCCTACTGGGGATGTGCCCACAACCAAGGTACATGCCCTTGACCGGAATCGAACCTGGGACCTCTCAGTCTGCAGGCTGATGCTCTATCCCCTGAGCCAAACCGGTTTCGGCTTCCAGTAACTTCTAATCCCTGCGCTGCACGGTGCACCGTGCCTTCATGCTGCTCGGGAAAGAGTCTCGGGGGGAGGCATGCTCTCCCTGTGTCCCCTGCTCCGGCCTTATCCCTGTGCCTGTGCCTCTAGGACCCCTCGGCCATCTACTCCAGAGTGAATACTGCAAGCACTTCAGATGACGACTATGAAGATGCCATGTAAGTTACGGGAGACCCTGCGACCCCCGGCCTCAGGACCAGTGTGCTCTTCAGAGATCCGAGGAGTCAGCTCTCCAGCAGCCTCATCCAGGGGAGTGCCCTCCACGGGACCATTTCTACCTCCCCTGGAAGGCAAGGTTGGCTCAAGCCCCGAAGAGACCGCCCCAGAGGCCCACCATGAATGAAGAAACGGGAAGGACTCTGCTGCCAGAACCGGAGGTTTGCTGCTTCTTTCAGGCCCAGGTCAAATTGTGCTCTAACTTCTTTTTCTAAGAGGAAACAAGCAAGGATAAAAGAATTTAGGACTTTGGGGTGGAGGGAAAGTGAGGCTTGGGGGGCACAAAACCCTCGGTTAGTGATTTCGTGGGACTTCTCCATACAGAGAGCTGTGACCATCATGGTGTTCAGGAGCTTTTTCTGCTCAGATGGCACTGACCACTTACATTAATCTTCCCGTTTCTCCATAAAACATGTGACTCATCACATTTGAAGTCACTGATCAGAATTAAAACAAGGTTACATAAGACATCACTGCACTTATGCTCAATGTTAGCATGCTTTATATGCACAGGTCCATCCGGATTTGTACTAAGAATATTTGTGCTTGTCTCCACATCCGATGTCCTGCCTTTGTTGCCGCCCTAGAAGCTTTGTGAATATAAGTTTTTATTCACAAATGTTGTGAAAACATGTGTTAATAGGTTTGAAGTTTGTATTTTAATTTTAAACCAACCATTTGCTAACGCTTATAAATTTAAACAATTTAAAGCTTAAAATGTAAAAAATTAAAGTGCTCCCTATAATTTAACACCACAAGTAGCCCCATTGTTAAACGTTGAGCATTGTTAAAAATCACAGCTCTGCAGAGATTTTTCTATTTTTGTACAGACATTTATACATCGTTGTAAATATGTACATATTTAGAAATATACCTATTTAATATTAATAAAATACCATGAAATATTTTTTTAAAGTTGAAAATGCCACCTTTTATTCCTTTAGACAAACATAGCAATACACAACTATGATGAATATAAAAAGAAAATTATATGATAAACTTAAAAGCAGCCTGTGATTTTGAATTCTGTCAGTGTTCTTACCCTTTGTGACAGCTTGAATAGGCATTATAATTGGCGAGGTAAGCCAGTCAGAGAAAGCCAAAGCCAGTCACGTGATCGATCTTTATGGAATCTAGTCAACCAATGAACAAAATAGAAACAGAGGCATAGAAACATGGAACAGAGGGGATGGGGCAGCAGAGACTGGATAAAAGGAGGTGAGGGGGTGAGACAAAGCACATATATTCACCCCCCATTCACACAGATACAGTGTGGGATCGCCAGAGGGAAGTGGTGGTGGGCTGGGTGGAGGTGGGCAAAGGGTAGGAAATAGATATTTGCAATAGTGTCAACAATAAAAACAAAGTAAAAAAAAAAAAAAAAGACTGAATATTATTATAATCTTGAGAGTAATCGGCCACATTGTAAAAACTCCTATATAATGAAAGCATAAAATGCAAATCAACCAAACAGTGTAATGACTGGTTGGTGCGGGGGGGGGGGGGGGAGGAGTGGTAAGGGGGACAGGAACTGGGGGACGTGAGGGAGGTGGGGCTGGCAAGCAGGCAGCACCAGGCCAGCCAAGGCAAGGTGCCAGTGGGCAGAAGGAGGAGGTGGCAATCAGGGGGTGGTGGCAACCAGCAGTGGCAGAGGGGCAACCAGGGCAGGCAGGGCCATCAGCTAGGCTGCCAGTGCCATCCCCTGATTGGCCTGCCTGGTCACCTCCCGCAGAGGGAGGCCAGACTGCGACTTAGGGGTGGGCCTAAGCTGTCAGTCGGACATCCCCTTGAAGATTTCCAGACTGCAAGAAGGCACAGATTTTAGTGCACAGGGCCTCTAGTAGATACTTTAAAATTTCTACAGTCTCTGGGTGCTACTTTATGTGTAAATATATTGCTAGCCAAAAGCTGTTTCCCACAGATACTTCATTTTTTGGTTAATCCTCACCTGGGAATATTTTTTCTGTTGAAGAAAGAGGGAAAGACAGAGAAAAACATTGATGTGAGGAAAAACACATAGACTGGTTGCCTCCTGTCTGGGCCTGGGCTGGGGAGGAGCCTGCAACCAAGGTACATGCCCTTGAGTTGGATGGAACTTGGGACCCTTTGTTCTGCAGGCCGCGCTCCATCCACTGAGCCAGACTGGCTAGGTCCCCACATATGCTTTCTTTATTATTATTATTATTATTTTTAAATTTCTTTATTGATTAAGGTATTACATATGTGTCCTTATTCCTCCCATTGCCCCCCTCCCCCAACACTCATGCCCTCACCCCCCTGGTGTCTGTGTCCATTGGTTAGGCTTATGTGCATGCATACAAGTCTTTGGTTGATCTCTCCCCCTTACTCCCACTTTTCCGTACCTTCCCTCTGAGGTTTAACAGTCTGATCGATGCCTCTCTGTCTCTGGATCTGTTTTTGTTCATCAGTTTATATTGTTCATTATATTCCATGAGTGAGATCATGTGATATTTATCTTTCTCTGACTGGCTTATTTCGCTTGGTATAATGGTCTCCAGTTCTATCCATGCTGTTGCAAATGGTAAGAATTCCTTCTATTTTACTGCAGCTTAGTATTCCATGTGTAGATGTACCACACCCACGGGTGCTTTCTTACACTGCAGAAGTCCAGGGTGTTGGGCATTCTTTTAGGCAGTCTAGACCAGTGGTTGGCAAACTCATTAGTCAACAGAGCCGCAGTTAGCCGACTGCTGGTCTAGACTGAGGGAAATCAAGACCCTGAAGATCAGCTACAAGCAAAGTGGAGTGGACCCTGTGAAGTCCTATTAGTCAAACCTTGGATACACCACCCATGAGTAACACCTGTGAACCCTTAACTGGTCTTTAATTGCTTTTAAAAAGAAACAGGATGGCCGAGATCCCAGCTGGCCAGGAGAAGACCCAGACATCTCAAAAGTAGACTGCTTCCGCCCAAGAGACCTGACTAGGCCCGTGTCACCCTAAACTGTTACTGTAGTTAGAGTTACTATAGTAAGCTAATCAGGTCACTAAACTCTCCATTTTAACTTGCTATTGTTTTAGTTTAAACACTGTGCTGTGCTTTCCTGATGGTGACATTTGTTTGTACAGCCCTAACCATTCTACTTTGTTATGCTTTCATGAACTTTTTTAAAAGAATTAAATCACATCCTTTGTTCCCTTATCTGCAGTAAGCAGCTAGAGCAGTTACTGTCCCTATTCTGCACAATTGAGAAATGAACAGAAAGGTGCATTTGTAACTTAAGAACCAGCTCAAACTGGCCCCATCCTGTTTCTTACAAGCTATTGAGAGAAACAACAAAACAAAACTGCAAGTTATGCACCTGAAGTATGTGCATAGGAGAAAATGTTACAAATTAAGTTCAGGACCTAAGAGATCTGTGGGACATTCACACTATGGAATACTGTGCAGTTGTAAGAAAGAGGGACTCCTACCCTTTGGGACAGCATGGATGGACCTGGAAGATATTGTGCTAAGTGAAATAAGCCAGTCTGAGAAAGACAGATATCTCATGACCCTCATTTACTTGTGGAAACTAATGAACAAAATGAATTGACCAACAAAATAAGACCTGAAGGAGGGAGACATGGAGCAGACTGACATACCTCGATGTGGGGTTGGGGGGATGAGAAGAGATAAACCAAAGAACTTACATGCTTGCATGCACAGCCCATGGACACGCAGTAAGGTAATGAAGACCTGAGCTTATTCTTGTGTGTGGTGTGAGTTGCTGATCTAGTTTCACCCTTTTGCACGTATCTGCCCACTTTCCCCAAGACCACTCATTGAAGAGGCTGTCTTTACTCCATGGCTTGCCTTTGCCTCCTTTGTCAGAAATTACTGGGCCATAACGATGTGGGCTGATTTCTGGGCTCTCCTGTCCCTGCTCAGGCTGTTTCCAGTAGGACGGCTTTGTAGTACAGTTTGGTACCCGGTGCTGTGGCTCTTCCTCCTGTCCTTGGCCCTCCCATGTGGAGCTGAGATTCCACTCTCCTCAGCGGGACTTTTGCTGCCAAGATATCCCTCAGCTTATCAGCTAGCCCTCACCTCATTTCCTCCCTGCTTACCAGTCTCCTTGTAGCTTCTTCTGTGAGTCCTTTGGAGTAATACTCTTATTCAGGTGTGTTTTCAGTGGCTTATTCAGGCGGATCATCTATATATTTAGCTGTAAATCAAGCCTGATACTGGGAGGTGGTGTGTGTGTAGCTTCCACCTACTCCACAGCCATCTTGGGGAATTGTCTTCAAATTAGTAACACAGAGAGTCTTCTTCCAAAAATTCCTTTTGTGTGTGTGTGTGTGTGTGTGTGTGTGTGTAGAGAAGTAGAACCTGGAAATTACGGAGCACACCTGGAGCTACAGAGGGAGATCACAGGGAGAGAGAGAGAGAGAGAGAGAGAGAGAGAGAGAGAGAGAGAGAGGACGTGAGCATGAGCCTCTGTTGGTTTTATTTCTGAGTTTATTAAGCTGCTTAGCTTTGTTTTCCTGTATCTCATTTAATTTTTTTTTCAGAACTGCAATTTTTAATTCTTGTTATTTAAATTACAGGTGTCCATGTATTTAAGTTTATTTTCTAGTTTGTTTTCTCAGCTGCCTTGTTTCCTTGGTTATTCATGATATCTGATGGATTTCTTCTGTTTAGACACCTGTACGTAGCATTTTTCTGTTAGGTGGTATAAAAAGCTTTTCTTCCCAGCAGGTTTGGCTCCGTGGGTGGAGCCGCTGCCTGCAGACTGAAGGTCCCCGGTTTTGACTCTGCTCTAGGGCACACGCTGGGTTGCAGGCTCCATCCTCACCAGCGAGCCGAGCCCATCAATGGTTCTCCCTCATCATTGATGTTTCTATCACTCCTTCCCCCTTCCTCTTTGAAACCAATAAAAATATATTAAAAAAGAAAAGAAAAGAAAAAGTGTTTCTTAAAAAGGGGGAAAAGAAAAAAGTCTTCC